GCCCTGGCGCGCTCGCTGTGGCAGCTGGGCGGCGGCGCGGGGCGGACGGCGCTGCTGCGGCCGCGGCGGGGCTCGGCCGGCCGCGTGTCCTGCGGCTGCGGCGGTCTGCACACCGAGGGTGAGCGGGGACGGAGCGGGGCCGCCCTTGGGAGGGCGCGGGGCGGACACGTGCTCTGCACCCCCTCCATGCTGGGAAGCACGTGGGGCGGCGGGGCTTTCCCTACTGCCCTTCTTTCCTAAGGCAACTCCCCCTAATCCCGCTTTTCCCTAAACCACCTATTTCCCTAAATTCCGTCACCGCCTAAGCCCGCTTTTCCTCTACACCCCCTTCGCTACCTCCTTTTTCCCTACTGACCCTTACCTAACCTCCTTTTTCCCCAATCCCCCGTTCCCTAACCCCCTTTCTTTTCCCAAACCCCCTTTTCCTACCCGCCCTTCCCTTAACCCCACTCCCCTTTTCCTTAACCCTCCCTTTTCTTACTCCCCTCTTTCCTTACCCTCCCTTTCTCTAAATCCCCCTTTTCCTAACCCCCTTTCCCTAACCCCGTTTCCAACATGTCTTTTACCAACACCCCTTTCCCTGAACTCACCCCCCACCCCTTTCCTTCATTCCCCCCTCTCTATCACCCTCCCTTTCCCTAACCCCATTTTCTTTCTCGCCAGGGGACAAAGCCTTTGCGCAGTTCCTGACGGACGAGATCCAGGAGGAGAAGAAGATCCAGAAGCACAAGTCCCTGCCCAAGGTCTCCGGAGGGTGGGAGCTGGAGGTCCACGGCACGGAGGCCAAGCTGGTGCGGAAGATCGCGGGGGAAAAGTGAGTGGGGTCCGGGAAGGGTCCCCAGCACCCGAGGGAGGGTGGCTGGGTCACAGTGACCAGGTTTCTCCATGTGCTCACAGCCCAGACTGCACCCTGCAAAGGCTCTTTTTTGTGACCACTCTGGGGCCAAAGGCACTTTTTTCACACCAGTTTGTTACTGTGTTTTGTGTTACAAAGTTTCACGTGGTCTTCCTGTTTTAAAAATAACAGTTCGGTAAAACTCGAATGATAAGAGCAGGATCTGGCAACCAGAACCTCCTGCCAGGTACTGGAGTCAGGAATAAGAAACGAACTGTGAATGGAGTGACAGAATTGAACTTTGCTGGAATAAAGGCTCTGGAGTTAACCCTTACCAGTCCCTGGTAGAATTGAGAGGGTATTGGAATGACCCAGGAAATACAAAAATAAAATGGAAAGCGCCTGATGGTGTGTATTGGATATGTGGGAGAAAAGTGTACAGTGAATTACCTCAGAAATGGAAGAGCTCATGCACTTTAGGAATTATCAGGCCAGTGTTCTTTACCCTGCCCAGATCAGAGAGCAGCTCATTGGGGGCACCCTTATTCAAAACCCTTAACAGAAATAAAAGATAGTTAAGGAAAAAAATCCCCATCATAGGTGGGAGTTTTACCAAAAAAAAAGTGGGAGCACTTGGAGGGGGCAGCTTCTCCCAGGTGTTTATTTTAACTGCAGTGCCTGGTTTTGTTCACACTGTGTGAATTCTGAAGGAGGGCTCAAAAGACCCGTTCTGATGGGCATTTTTTGGGTGTGTTCAAAAAGAATTGTTTCTGTTTCTTGTGCAGGATAACGGTTACATTCAACATCAATAACAGCATCCCACCCTCAGCTGAAGAGGACACGCAGGAGCAGCAGAAACCTGATGAGCAGGAGGTAACTCAGCCTTGATGTGCATTTAATGTTGGGGACACAGATTAAAGTTGAAATCTTGCCTTAGGGAAGTTGGAGCCTTGTCCTCAATTGTTGAGGCTTTTTCTTATGTGATATTTGGGAGCATTAAGTCACAAAATTCAGATTTTCCGGGGCTGCCTGTCCCCTGGCTGTGACTTGCCTCTCTGCTGCAGAAGGGCAGAGATGAGGAGAAATAAGGAGAAATTAGAGGAATTCTGAGACTTTCTAGCACCTTCCAAAAGGGTCTACAGGAGAGTGGGAGAGGGAAACTTTGTACAAGGGAATGGAGTGACAGATTAAGGGGGGATGGCTTTTAACTGACAGGGAGTGGGGCTAAATTGAGTATTGGGGGAGATTGTTCCCTGTGAGGGTGGGGAGGCCCTGGCACAGGGAGGTTGTGGCTGCCCCATCCCTGGAAGTGTCCAAGATTAGGCTGGATGGGGCTTGGATCAACCTGGGATAGTGGAAGGTGTCAGGGAATACCCAGTGCTGGCTGGGCTGTGCTGTGATTGCTTTGGCTCCTGTTCAGATTCCAGAGCTGATGCAACTGTTCTCTTATTTAGCCTGAACTTACATCAACTCCAAACTTTGTTGTGGAAGTAATAAAAGATGATACAAAACAGACCCTTGTGCTTGACTGCCATTTCCCTGAAGATGAGGTGAGTATCACTGTGCCCCTCTTGGATTTAACTGCTCTTTGTAATCTCTTGCTTTTCTGAATCAGCACAGTATTCAGCCTCCTCTTAGTTCTTTATTTTTCTTAATCACAAAAAAAAGGCTTTGTGTTTGCAAGAATAGTGGGGAGGAAATGTTTATGACATTTCTCACATCCTGTCCTGGTGTTTCTGGTCAGCTGCTTATTGGGCTCTTTATTGAATTACAGTAGAGAAGTAGGTGTTAAAAAAGGAGGGGAGAAAATAAAATTTAGAGCTTTTGCTCACACTGGTATTTGTGGTTTATTTTGTAAATGTTAGGAGGTGTTTAACAGCCAGTCTTGGCTGACAAAGATGAGACAGACACGGGAAGATGTGTTTAGAGCCACACAGAAGTTTTTATATATTTGTAAAATTCAGGCTGCTGATTTCCATGGCTGCACAAGCTTAGAGGATTTCCTGAGTTCTGTGCCTGTCTGTCCTTGTCCTCACAGGCAGGGTGGGAGGGGAGAGGCACAGCTTGTCTGGCCTTGGGGCTTTTCCTGAGGTATTCCCAGCCTGGGGATGAGCTGGCTGAGTGAGCCCACTAATTGCAGCTAATTGCGTGTCTTGCATTTGTTTTCCTGCTTCAGATTGGACATGAAGGAGAGGAAGAAAGTGATATTTTCACAATTAGAGAGGTCAGCTTCCAGCCCACTGGAGAAACTGACTGGAAGGACACCAACTACACCCTCAACACGGATTCCCTTGACTGGGTAGGTGCTGCTAAAGGCACCTGGCTGTGCCTCTGCTCCTGGGCTGGCAGTTAAACCTGTCTGGATGTCTGAGACAGGCTGGCCCTGCTCTGCCCCTGAGCTGGTGGTTCTGCTGCAGACTGAGGGTGTTCCATGGTCCCAGGGTCGTGCACTGCTGGTGGCATTACCAGGAAACAGGACAGACAGGAGGAACTTCTTCCTTTCCAGATTTTATAGGTGGATTTCCCAGCAGGGAATCGCATTCTGGAAATGCTTTGACACTTGTTAAACATCTTGTGGTCTGTGTTTAACAATGTGGCTTATCAGACACCATGTGTAGGTAAAAGCATCTGTGTGTGGTATCTGAAAAAATACATTGTGTCCTGGTTTTCCAGGTGTGTTGTTAGAGTTGTAACACTAAACATATGCACTAGAAACTGTGTGTTCTCAATGCCAGGATTTCAAAAGCTATAATTTTTAGTTTGAGGCTGTCATATGTTTAAAACTGAAAGTAGAAATAAGTCCTAGAGTGTATCCCCTTGAGAAGCATTCATGTCAAAATTGCTTTGTGTGCTGTAGACCATCTCATACTGATTATTCTTTTTTTTTCCCCTAAGACATTAAATTAATTGAAAATACGTATGAAAAGGAAAAAGTTCATGCTGTAACATTTAAGCTTTTCAAACAAACTTGTACATCAGATACCTTTTCAAAGTGTTAGTTCACTCCTGGTAGAGGGGACAGGCAGAGTTTGGCCTGTGTCATCCTTGACACACTTCCCCTGATGACCCCACAGTCTGGGGATCTCCAGGATGCAGCTCATTTCTAGTGTTGAGTTTGGGTTTTTATTACGTGTTCCATGGCCCTTTCTGTGCAAATGTTCCACCCAAGGTTGGGCCTGCCCTCCTGGTGCCTTGAGAGGCTGCCTAGAACAGAGGCTAGGCACTGCTAGAGGAATAAAATAGGGATTTATTAAAAGGCCTTAAAGGATACAAGAGCCCAGCCAGGGCTGCACCCAAGTCATGAGTCTTCACACTTTTATAAGTTTTGGTGCATTTCCATA